CTCTACTTGTGCGAGTTCTACCTAGTGGGCTCATCTCTATAGGGGCTGAAAATCATCAAGGGGGTCTTCCTTGAGGTTTGTTTTGAGATTTGGTACTGTTTTGTTGGATTTTTGGTACTTTTTTGCCTCCTTCCCTGTTCGGCATCTCTGGGTTTGGTCACAGACTTCTCTGTTTGGTGTTTTCTACTGTTATTTGGCTGCTTTGGCTGTGTTATTTGGCTGTTTTCTGCTGGTTTGGTCACTAACTTCTCTTACTTTAGCTGTGTTGCTATCATAGGTTTTATCTCTTATTTTGGCTGTGTTCCTGTTCCATTTTTTTTTTTTTTTTTGGGCTGCTGTGTGTTTTCCATGGCAAAAACCAAACCTCCTGTGGTTAAAGATGATGAGTTGCCTAGAGTCTATTACTACCAAGAAACTTAATGGCTTAAATTATCTGGCTTGGGCTCATGCCGTTAAAATCTTTTTGCGGGGGTAAGAAAAAATCCCGTTTTCTTACTGAACTTCCTCCTGCTATTGATGGGATGGCTCTGGCATAGTGAGGAGGACTCTTGTGTTATGGGATGACTAGTGTGGAATTTTGTGGAACTTCCTCCTGCTATTGTGGAATTTTGTGTAGTGAGGACTCTTGTGTTATGGGATGGCTCTGGCATAGCTTGGAACCTCATGTTGCTACTACTGTGGAATTTTGGGACACCTCGAAGGAAATTTGGGACTCCCTTGTTAAGTCATTTTCAAATCAAAGTAGTGTCTCCTGGGTCTATGAGTTATATGAGCAAATTTTTGCTACTCGATAATCTGGCCGTTCTCTTTCAAACAGAATGTAAAATGAAGAAAATTGCACTCACAAGGTCCCGTACAAGCAGCTCAGCAACTTTTGCAGCAACTGGATATCGTGCAGCATCTTTACTTGCCTTTTATATGGTAGGAAAAGTCACAATAGCATCCAAACAGATATCACTAGTAGTTCAAAAAAATTGCAAATTACCTCGCCACTTATCAATAGAGGATTTCTCCCTTCATCAATGAGGACTGAATCAACTTCATCAACTATTGCAAAATTAAATGGCTTGGGCCTGTTGTTTGCCACACTAGTTAGTTCAAATAAACAACTACATGGACAAACTCCACAGGGTTCAGAATAGTTCAATGTAAGACTAAATACAAAATTCGCAAAAGATTTGAATATTTACCATCTCATCACAAGTTGTTCGCTGCTTCCAGAAAGATTATCTCGGAGATAATCAAAACCTAGTTCCTTAGGCAATTAACACAACAGAAAGAAACAAAACAGGAGATGCAGTGTTGATGAGTTAACAACAACCACACAAGTGAATGTCAACAAAGCTGCCAAGCAAGTATCACCTATGAAGCATGGACACCTCTCCGGAGGTCGTGTACAGGAGTCAGACACGTGTTGGACATGGACACATGCTGAAAAAGCTCAGGACACGTGTCGGACACGTAGGGACACTTTGTACACGCTTTGGACACGTTGGAACACGCTAAGGACATGCAAGTGACATGCTAGGGACACACTAAGTGCTATTTTTTTTCAAAAAAAAACTATAATTTTTTTTTTTTTTTTTAAACTAAAATAGCATACTTAGATAAATTTGCTAAAATTAAATATTTGACATAAAATACATATTAAATATTTAAAAATATACATACGATAAAAATATAAAGATATATGTTTTGAACGTGCCCCCAACGTGTTGTGTCCTGCATTTTTTGAAAATTTACATGTCCATGTGTCCATGTCGTGTCACGTGGTGTCCGTGCTTCTTAAAGTATCACAAATCCAATTGCAAATACTAGCATCAAAAAATCAACCAGGGGGGAATTACAACATGACATTGAATCCGACTTACCAAAGGGGCCAAAGTAAAATTACATAAATTTTGAGGTGGTCTTCACCTCTGCTAAAAGTGTGGTGGCTTATTTGGGTCGATGTTTAGTGGGTCGTCTGGGCAACACTTCCTTCTAACTTTCTTCATATTAACAAAACATACTTTGTTTAAACAGAAAATATTAGCCATTGTCAAGTATATGCTACTCTGACAATGTTTTGCAGAATGGAAAGTAAAATCACACATGAATATACAGATGCAAATACAAAGCAATAAAGTAATACATGATTAAAGCAATAGGGAAGTGATAACAATATAAAATGCACATAATACCTCATTGATAATGAGAGCCTTCCCATTTCTAACAATATATTGGACATCCCGCCGATAGAACTCTTTAGCCTTCAAAGCATTCATAACAAATCTGCAATATTTCAATGCCAACTACAAAGTTGAAAATTTGAAGAAGGAAGAATAGTGTCTAAAAACTATATTGACTTAATCCACTTAACCTGTCTATGGATGGTCAACCGAACAAAATAGTGCACACATTAGTTTGAGATAGCCCAAACAAGGCAACAAAAACACGGCGACTTTGAGTCATGTTTCCTTACTTTGGCTCAATTAAGGCTTGACCTAAAGTCTCCAAGACTTTTGCTCATCTAAAGAATGGGATTACATTGTTCACATTTGAACATCTTTACTAAGTCTAGGTCAACCAATTAACTTCCATAAGCTAAATCAATTTAGAGAGAAATTCGCATTGGGATTAATTTGAATTAGCATAATATAATTTTGCCACAAAAATCTAAATTAAATAGTGACAATATTACACAAGTCGCAAGATCAAAAATCCGCTATGGTCGTAATCATCTCTTGCACCACAGGTGACAATTATCCAAAATTTAATTTAATTTATGCGTAAAATATTGGTTTTCGGGAGTTAATCTACAAAGATATCTCTCAACCGAATAACCTCCCACTGACTATGGCATGTCTAAAAGCATGATAAAAAATTCTAATTTCATACAATAGCATCATAATGTAGATTCACAACCAACTCATGCTATGTCACAGTTAATAATGGAATTTAAACAAATAACAATTAATCATGCTATTCTCATTACAACATGTTAGAAACTCTAGGCAAAAAATAACAATATGTTGTATTTAATATTCAAATTATGCCATAACAGAAACTATATCACTTCTGAAATTTTCTGGAATTTTTTGGTATTTTCTGAAATTTTAAATAACTAATAAACACACATAAAATTAGAAATAAATATTCCAGAATCTGGTAAAATGCTATAACTATACCAGTAAATAGTAAACTACAACAGTAGTCTACAATAAAAAATTCAGCCCTAGAAACTTAATCATGCAACACTAGATGCATTTTAAACCAGAAATAATGAATTATTATTTCAGGAAAAATATTTTTTATTTTCATAAAATTTTCAAAATTTTACAGAAGATAAAAAAAATAATTCTGAGTCTAACGCTTAAAACAAAGCTATAACGAATTAATTATGACAATTTAACGCGATTTAGAATTTAAAACAAAACAAACAGACCCTTAACATCAGCAGCCAAGCCGGCAGAGGAAAAATGGCGCAGCTCAAAACGTGGCTCGGCACGCGGCGCGCATGTGTGCGCGGAGGGCGTGCGCGTGGACAGCGCCGCTGATACGTGCGTGGAGGCGTGTCAGAAGCGCCTCTGGCTCGTGAAGGCGCGTGGAAGCCTCCCACGGCGTCAGGTGGCACATGAGGCCCACGCTCCGCCTTCCAGGGTGTTTTCTGGTTCGATTTTGTACTACCGGACTCCATTTTTCACAACAAAAACATTTATGGCATCAAAAAACACATTTAATGAATATAAAAATGAGGTGTACCACACTCTCACTCTAATGGGAGTTGAAATTTTCCTCCTTTATAAACATTCATGCTTATATCATGTATATATATTTATATAAAAATATACACATATTTTAATGCATAAAAATAAGCACGAAAATACCCATTTTGGCTCTGATACCAATGTAAATTAGAAAGCATAATAACGCAGCGGATAAAATATCAGAATCATACCTTATTAACAAGAACCTCGTGGGTAAATCACGTGCTTCTAGAATCTGATCAATCAACCCAACAGTGAAGTGATACTACAAATGAGTATCACCCACACCAGTCACAGTGCAGAGGCTTGATCGTTGTTTTAATAGGAGAGAGTCAGAGAGAGAGTTTTGGAAAAAAAAGTTATGGGTAAAAACCACATAACGTATATCTGATATATGTATTTGATCTATTAAATATATTATATATAAAATATATTAATCAGATATAACAACCAATATCTATCTATCCATCTATCTATATCTATTGATATGATAGATATAGATATCCTGAATGGTTATCCAAATAAGTTTTGAATTCAAATTCAAACTTACATTGATAAGGTTCAAAAGGTTCAAAGGGTCACGCCACATGGGTACCCAATTTCTAACACTTTGGATAATGGTATACGCGAGAAACAGTTTCTGCAATCAAAGATTTAAACTAATTAGGACAAAATGTAAGAATATATAAAAGATGGCAAGTAACAACACAAAACATATCTAAATCAGACCATGTTATATAGAGGACTATAAACAAATCAAACTAGTTCAACTCATGTTCAGTTTATTAAAAGTTCATTTAAAATTCACTCGTTATGTAAACTTGTTTTCAATGCATTTTGAAGCTCATCACCATTTGAAATTAAAAAAAAAAAAAAGAAGAGGTTCTCAAGCTCAGCTTCATTAAAGCTCATTTGAATTCGTCAACTTTGAGCACATTCTTAAATTCATCAAGTTTTTTTTGTGAACAACCTACCCATTCCTTTGGGAGTTGTATGGCTTATTTTCGTCTTTAATTAACTTTAAAAAAAAAAACCATGTCAAATTTCTTTATTTTTAGATCGCAGTTGACTATACACAATCTTAAAAATCATAAAAATTTGATTTTTATAATTTTTTTTTTTCTCTTTCAAAAGAACAATCAGTTGTCATTTTAGTTTTAACCCTAGTTATAGACACCCAAAATTTTAAAATAAATCCAAAGACAGAAGAAGAAAACAAATAAGACAAAACTAGAAGAAAAAAAAAAAAATTTGCAACCGGACTAATGTGTCCATATAGGGGTGTAAAAATGGCTCAAGTCCCGTGGGCGGCCAGAGGCCTGAGGTGGGACTGGCCAGGTTAGGTCCGGGCTCGAGCCCAGCCCAGGACCTTATGTTTTGGTCTTCCATTTGAAGCCTGGCCCACTCGGCCCTTCCTTTGCCAACGGTAAAAAATTTTTTAAAAATAAAAAGCAAGTTACAACCAACGATTAAATAATTTAAATAAATAAATAAATAAATAAGATAAAGGCTTGATCTTGTGCAAGTTGCAGTGGAATTGAATATGTGTTATGACTCTTATATTGAGATTTTGAAATTATACTTATTGTTTAGAGATTTATCTTTTGTATAGAGATATTTGTTTTGGGTTGTCGGTAGATGATAACTTTGATTGTTGTAAAAATTACATGAGGATTAGATTAATTGAAACCAATTACTCATACATTTTGCATTAAACGTTGTTTTATATTTATATATTGAAAATGCATCGTTTTAAGAAAAATGAGTGAATATCTTGGTGAATTTGGTTAAGGGGTATAGTTGTGGTATTATCTATGTTGGCCTGTCTGTCCTTAGTGAAAGTCCAAAAACTCGTGTGGTTAGGTGTCAATTCTTCTGATTAGTACCGGTAAAATGGCTTTGATAATATTTGTATAGCCAACTGGCAGACATGTACCTAGAAATTCTCAGTGTTGTGTAGGGGTGAGTAGCGGATATACTGATCCGTCCAAACCGACCGAACCAAACCAATCCGTTGCATTTTGGACGGATATGTGATGATGAACGGACGATTGCGGATTGATATTTTCCAATCTGCTTATAGTTTTGGACAGATGGCGGATTTGAGGTTCGTTTGGCTGCAACCGAACCGCCAAACTGTGAGCACCCCTAGTAATTTATAAGATTTTGTGTTTTCAATTTGTTTAGATATTCTATTTGTATTTTCAATTGAAAAAGAGTTTAAATATTATGTTGATTATGTTCCGTTGAAAAAGAGTTTTCAACTTGGATATATTTTTTGAATTGAAAAAATAAATGTAATATATATATTATTTTTAAATCTAACTCTAAAAATAATAAATAAAAAATATGATATATGCTGGTTGGTTTTTGTTTTCAAAAACATATATAGATGTAACAATACAAAGGCATACAATCTCTATTACTGCTCTATTTATGGTTTTAGTGGTTTGAATTGTTTTTATATTTTGAGAACCACAGATTGTAATATTTTATATGGAAGAGGCATACTATAATTGTAATATATGGGTGGGGTATGCAGTAATTGTAATATTACAAAATTTCAAACTTTCTTTTTTTAGATGAGCATGCAGTGATTATAATACATTTTTAAGTCATTGATTGTAATATTTTTTTTTTTTGAGGAAGTACACAAGTTGAATTATGTTGAAAATTTATAAAATTTTAAACCGTCAAACCGGTTCGCATCTATTCGCTAATCCGCCAATCCGCTTAATCCACATCTGTCGAATTAACAGACGGATGCGAATTGATTTTCTCCAATTTGCCAATATGGCGGACGGATGGCGGATTGGAGGTTCTATGGTCGCAACTGACCCACGCCCATCCCTGTTGTGTATCCATTGCCCTATTTTTTTATTTAAAAAGTATTGCTTTACAAATTGATTTATAATCATGACACTGCATTGTTTTGAAAGAGAAAAGTGTAATGTTTTGATAAATGGCATGTATATGCATTTACCATATGACTTTGTTAAATATTATATAGGGGGTTAAGGTATACTCTACTGGGCTATGTGAAAATCAACTTTCAGATGCTGATAGTATGTCTTCACCAAGGACTTAACTCCGGAGGATCTTGGACCTGAAGG